AAGTTTCTTATTTTAAGAGGAAAATCCTCTAAATAGTAACAATGATAAGAATATATACTGATTAGAATATAAAAAGCCTCTATATAGAAAAACATATATATCTCACTATCGAAAAAAACTATATTTTTAAATAAAGAATATATTCTTAATTAAAGAATATATTCTTAATTTCAAAAGAATATCATCTAAAATCTTTAAGAAGATTTTTTAAGTATAAAATCTACTTACAAGAATATAATTTTTTCGATGTATATATATATATATATATACACGTACACCGAAAAAATTGTATTCTTGTTTTGAGGAGAGAGATATCCCACTTACTTTAAGTGTATTTTATGCTTAAATAGGCGCCAAGAAAAGTTTCTTATTTTAAGAGGAAAATTCTCTAAATAAATAGTAATATTGATAAGAATATATACTGATTAGAATATAAAAAGCCTCTATAGAAAAACATATATATATCTCACTATCAAAAGAGACTATATTCTTAAATAAAGAATATATTCTTAATTAAGAATATCATCTAAAATCTTTAAGAAGATTTTTTAAGTATAAAATCTTCTACTTACGAGAATATAATTTTTTCGGTATGGTACAAGTATAAATCAAACATAAATTAATACAAATAAATAAAATTGTGTTTTTTGAAATAAACTTGACGAGAACGAAATTCCCTTTTTTTTTTTGGACAGTGAAATCAAAAATTCAGTCACGGTGAAATCAAAAATGCAGCTTTGAAATCCCATCCCGTCCCGCGATCGTTCGAAAGAAACAAAAAATCGATGATTCATCAATCGCTTCAATTGAGGGGGGTGGAGGGAATTGTCGTCGAAAACTCTTTAACGAAGAATTCGCCGCGCTCGCGGCGGATTAATTCCGGAACACTCGGTATTATTGAGCGAACACAGTAATACAAGAGGGACAAGGGACGACGATTCGCGATGTAGTCGCGACGAATTGGCGGCCGCGCGCGCGCGCGGGATGCTCGTCACACGCGCTCGCACCCTCTCGAGCAATGCACTCTCCATTCTCTTCCTCCCTTTGCCCTTCCCCGCCACCCTTCCCGTACACCCGCTGTGTGCACACAGCCGCCGCCCTCGCTCGTCGTTACTTTTCATTATGCACAATGTGCATAGACGCGGACATTTTATTTATCGTAGGGATTCGAGCGCGCGCGCGAGCATCCCCGGTCCGGGCACTCCATTCACGGTCGTCCCTTTCTCGCCCTCTCTCCCCCGTCCCTCCGTCCCCCTTTTATTCGCTCGTAGCCTGTCCCTTCCTACCCGGACGAGACAATGACGACACGCGACACACGACGGCGGAAAGAACGCTTCTCCCTCTCTCCGTTTTCATTTCCCTCGGCGTTGTACCTTTTTCCAACGCGCAGAGCCCCTCTTTCCCCCCGCGTAGTAGAGACGGGGGTAGAGGGTCCGAAACAAGGGGAGAGGGTGTGTCATTGTCTTACGGAAGCGCGCGGATATCCTGATAAATGCAGTGTCGCGCGCGCAACGATACTCTCCCCCTCACGAGAGTTGCAACCCCCCCGATAACGCACGCGAAATAATCCCCGCGCACGTGGCGGGATGATGATCCTGTCGTCGTCCTTCGTCGCGGGAGAAATTCCCCACCGAGAATTCCCTACCTTGTATTCCTCAGACGGGAAGAGTTTCCTCGCCCGAGAATTTTGCGCGCAGCTTCGCTGGGAGTTGGTTCCTTTTTTTGGGGGGGGGTAATAAATCTCCGGAATCAGGTTGGAAGTCGGTAGGTTTCCCACTCCGCGTCCTTTCACCGCCGTGGGTCATTTTCAGAGCGAAAGATGCTCTATAAAACTTGAACGGGGCAATCTTATTAAATTCACCGGCTTTGAAATTACCTTTCCATTCTCTCCCTCTCTCGCTTTTAAACTTCTCTTTCTTCGCGCGCGGCGACAATTCTTCTCGAAATTGACGTGAGAACAAATTGATCCTACGGAAGAGGAAGAGCCGGGAAAAAAAAGAAAAAAAGATCATCGAGTCTGATGAGGGTAAAAGGGTTACGGCGTTGCGAACGAAGACATCTTGCGCGCGCGAGAATTCTCTTTTTGCGCGCACACGTCGTCGACGACGTCGACGAGGAGGAGGATGTCGTGCGCCGCGAAAATTGCCGCGGAAACCGACCGACGAAAGGCGAGTTGGCGGACGATAATGCCCGGTAAATGAGAGAACAAAATGAGGGAAAATTAGTGCGGGGGCCGCGGAAGAGGGCACTTATTTTCCAGAAGCGTTGCGCGCGTACGTTCCGTTCGCACGTTCGCTCGAGAGAGAAATGGAAGATCGTCTCTTGTGCGATTCTCGCGCGTACTCTCGGTCATTCCGTCTTTGATCTAGCGCCTCGTCTCGTCGCGCACCAGAAGACCCCTTTCCCGTCCATTTCCGGTGTCGCGTAGAAGCAAGGAAGGAGCGTGACGCTCGAGTGATTTTCAAAGCTTCGATCGAATCGACCGCGCCTCGGGTTCGACGGCGAAGCGAGTCTCTTACGAGCGTTTTTCTTTTTTTTTTTTTTTTTTAAATGTATAATATGTTTGTATCAAATATATACGTGATCTTCTTCCGACATCGTCGCTGCAAAGTTTCGCTCTTTGTGATATATTTTAAATTCAATTCCCAACGGATATTATTTTCGCGAATAAAAAACAAACTTAAAAGATATGTACATTATTTATATCAACACCGAAAAAATTATATTCTCGTAAGTAGAAGATTTTATACTTAAAAAATCTTCTTAAAGATCTTAGATGATATTCTTCTGAAATTAAGAATATATTCTTTATTTAAGAATATATTCTTTATTTAAGAATATATTCTTTATTTAAGAATATAGTCTTTTTCGATAGTGAGATATATATATATGTTTTTCTATAGAGGATTTTTATATTCTAATCAGTATATATTCTTATCAATATTACTATTTAGAGATTACTATTTTCCTCTTAAAATAAGAAACTCTTCTTGGCGCCTATTTTAATATAAAATATACTTAAAGTAAGATATCTTCAAGTGGGATATTCTCAAAACAAGAATACAATTGTTTCGGTGAACAAACATATATTGTACGTTATTTTTTGTTTTTTACGATATTTGTCAAGTACCGCGATCGAGCGAAACGGATTAAATTCCGCGACGAAAGCAAAAAGTTGTCGCGCTCGCCTTCTCGCCGAAGAGTTACGCGTAATTACGTACGGGCACGATGCAATTTGCGCGATAATGACGCAAACGAGCCGCGATATGTGTGCGCAAAATTACATATTACACAAGTAAGCGAGTAATAAACACTACACATTGATTACATCGCGCTGAAAATGATGAAAATTAATCATCGCTTTGGAGTAATCAAGTTGCGTAACTTCTGTCCCCCCCTCACCCCCCACCTTCCCGCCAACATAGTAAACATAATTATGATTAATTACAATCCTGTAAATTGCATTCTCTCTCTCAAAGTTTATTCGAGTTTGGATCGGCGGAGTGAAAAACGAGAAAAGATCGATACATCGCGTCGTATGTATCGTCTCTCGCGCGCAAATCGTTTTGTAACGACTCGGAACGAGAGAAAGTCATCGAATCTAATTTTCGCTCTCGTGTCGCGCAACCTTTCCAACGCGATGTCTTTCGAAATAGGGTAAAAGACCCAATTACCGTCACCTGAACAATAAACTCTGGCGTTAGCGAATTGTTTTTACTATTTATTTATCAAAAACATGTGTTTTTCTTCTTATCTGGTATTATTCGATGTCTCTGATATATTAGGTCTATCGGAAAGTTCTGTCCGTTTTTGGAATAAAACAAAATACAAATTTTTCTTAATTTTTCAAAAATGGGATATAAAAATTGTTGCCCTCACGCTGGCAAGAAATCATTAATATATAATAATGGCAATTATATTATTTAATAAAGTTTATTGACGGTAAGAAAAATTTGTATTTTGTTTTATTCCAAAAAACGGGCAGAACTTTCCGGTAGACCTAATAAGAAACAAAATAATATCGCCTCTCAAAATCTCTATTTTTATTTGTAAATTTAATAATTAAAAAAGAACAATGCGAGAGCTATTTACTGTCACCCCCTAAAATGAAAGAAATGAGACAAGAATGTTGAGTGCTGAATTTTTTATTATGTTAATTGCACTTAAAATTCTATGTTAGATTGTTTTGATGCATAACTTTTTTTTAGGATTTATTTAATATTTTAAATAAAATAGCTTATGATGACACTAATTAGGTCTTTTACCCTAGATCGTTATTATCGACGTTCGTCCGAGGTTTACGACGGGCGACCGAACGCAATTGCGTTTTCGCACGAAAAACGCGGAAAATTCTCTTTCTCTCGTCGCAAGAGACGGGGGGGCGCGTCCATACTATATTTTATTACGGCAATACCGAGAGAAACTGGCTCGTAGCCAGCTTGTTTATTGCACAAGACAACTCTTCACCCATTCTCGCTTCACATTTGCCCCCTTCTCTCCCTCCCCGCGCGCCCCTCTCTCTCTTTTGTCCCTCTTGCCAGCTTCCGCAAGCGCGACGGAAGCTATTCTCTCATGCTCCTCCCGCATTAGACGGCGCTGGTGAATTTTCCCTTTCTTCCGAAACCTGGTCCTCCTCTTCCGATGTGTGGCGCTCGTCTATCTTTTTATTTATCGCCACGCGCGCGGAGAGGCGTTGCCGCTCTCTCTCTCGTTCGGAGAGTTTTATTTATTTATTTCCCCCGAAAACGCAAAGCAACTACCTCCCCTTGCAAATGAATTTTTTTCTCACTTTTAAACAGTTTGTCACTTTTTTAAAATAAGCAAAAATCGCACGTGCACGCGCGCGAGACGTGTTCGCGCTATCTACTTCTCGCAAGAGCTACAATCCACCCCCGTATGTGTGTTTCACCCTCGTTACAGCCTCGTCACGTGTTTATAGCGCGCCGGTATACGGTGTACCGGTGCTGAATTTATTTCTCTCTCTCACTCTCGCGACTCACCTCTCGCCTGGAATTATTGGCGGTCGGTGTGCGTCTGCCTCTGGCGTAGCCAGCGTCCATGGACCTGGTGTTCAAGGAAGCCTGCTCCTTCGGGTCGATGACCGGCGGGACGCGATGGGGCGGCACTCTCGGCCTGTACTCCACCGTGCGGTTGTGACTCCGCGACTTGGGCGGCGTGATCACGGCGTTCTGGACCCCGACGTCCGAGCAGCTCTCCTCGTCGGCCTCCTCGACGGGCGAGGGCGGCAAAGGCGGGAATTCCATCACGTCGACGCTCACCTGTCGAGAATAGACGAACGACGCGGTTCAAAAACGAAAAATTGCGCGACCTTCGACTTTTGCACTTTTGCGAGGATTCGTCGAAGTTCCGATGTAAAAGGGGGAAGAAGAATTAATTTTAATCTTCTCGAAAAAAAAAAATAAAAAATAAAAATATCGACGATAATCGATCGGTACCTCGAGAGTCAAACGAAATTCTGTATCTCTTTCGCATTTTCGATGCGCAAACGCGCGGTCGTCAAACGAACGCGCGAAGGGAGTTGCTTCTAAAGAGCTCGCGCGGATGGAAATTTCAAATGGAAACTAGTTTGACCCAGAACTCGTTAATCGATCAAGGACCCTCGTGACGATATTCGTATGAATGGCCATTCACCTCGATGACTATTCAACGAGTTTGTTAGATATTTTCGACCGCGCGAGTGTTGGAGATCGCGCAAGCAACGTTTCGCAAACGTCACAAGCGCGTATCGGAGAGATCGAAGACAATGCGACAATTGTCTGTTATTCTTTAGAACCTTTTTTTTTTTATTGAAACTAATGCTCTTTGACACAAATTCCCGGTCGCATTTCATTACCGGGAGGGGGAGGGAAAGAAAAAGAAAGTTTATCGGTGATGTGTTCGTTCAATCGCGAGGAAAAATTTCCGATAAATCCTCGATTGTTCGACAAAAAAAAGTTTCATTCGCGGCAAAATTACACACAAAGCTGCGCGAACAAATAAAAATTAAATTTGTTATTTACCGCGCGAGCAAACCTCCTAAGCGTTTGTCCCGTTGTTCGAAACAACGACGAGGAAAACAAAAAAAAAAAATTAATTTTCTTAAAATTAAAAATTAAAATTCTCCGAAAAGAAATTTCTAATTAGCGCGTCGTTTATGAAAATTTTTTCCCCTCTTGTTTTTTCTCTTTAGAAGCAAAACCTCTCTCTTACAAATTTAATTGTTTCGAACTTTCGAGCTCTGTGTGTAGCTCCGAACATTCTCGCGATTGAATTGCCGCGCGCGTTAATGCAACACATAATTGCTTGGAAATAATTCGGACCGCGCACGTAAGAATTAAATTCCCACGCCACAGAGAGAGAGAGCTGTGTCCTGTATCTCGCCGAAATAAACACACACATCGCGCACGAAGTACAGCACATACAGCGGGGGGGGAAGATAAATAATTAAAGATCTTTTACGCCGAAGTTAATTACGGGGGGTCGCAAAAAAATGGATTCGCGTGCGGGGGGCAATCTCCCCCCAGGGGGGGAGGAGGGGTTTACTTCCCCCGTTCCACATTTCATGTCATGAAAAAAACGCGGCCATTTCGCGGTATCTCTAATGGAATCCTATATTACGAGAGGAGAGGCTAACGCTACCAATTTATACCTTCACGTAAAGGGTGGCTCCCCCTTTTCACCCAGCCCCCCCACACACAGCTGCTCCCGCGCGCGCCCTTTTCTTTTCACCGCGCCCCCGTATATTTCCCTTCCCTTTGCATTTTTCACGACGCAGATGCACCTTAAACGTGCATCCCCCCCGTCGTAAGAGCTGGGGGGGGAGGGGGGCGGCGTTTTTATTTCCGCGTTGCGTCTTTCCGCGCGTCGTCGTTCGGCTTTTCAAGCGCGCGCGTGCGTGCGCGCGAGCGGAATAACAAAGAGAAGAGAGAAAAAGACCGCGATGAGAAATTCCAAACCCACCTGGAACTCCGGATTCTTCGAGTCCTCCAGAATGGCGTCGATCACGTTCTCGATTTGCTTCTGATCGTTCTTGTGATTCTCGATCCCGTTTTGACGCAATCGTCTGCCGGACGAGTAGACGACGTCGGCCGCGCCGTTCGGTTTCCTACGGTCCGCGAAGTCCGCGTCCGAGCTGGCCTTCGACGTCTCGGAGTCGGAACTGTATTGGTGTCGGCCGCTTCGGCTCGTTCTGCTGTCGAACGGGCTGCCCGCGTCGACGATCGCGGGTTTTCGTCCGTCGTGAACCGTCGGCGGAACTCCCTCGTACTCGAAGCTGTTGCGCTTCGAGCTCTGCTTCACGTCGCCGTTGCGCCAGCGCTTGCTCTCGCAATACGACTCGCTGTTCTTCACGTTCTCGATCTCCTTGATCGCGTCGCTCACCTTCTCCAACTGACGGCGGTTCTCCTTGAGCGCCTTCTTCACGATCTGGTCCTCGATCAGCAAGTTCACCGGGATCTTGGAGACCAGTCGCTCGTCGCTCGCCGCTTGCGGGAGCTTCTTCTTCGACGATTCGGATGATACAACGTTCGCCGACTTGACGTTGTCCAGATCAGCCAGGGTCGGGGCTGACGGAACGCCATTACAGTCTCTCGATCGGTCCGGACGAGATTCCGTTTGATCATCGTCGTCCACAGGCGACGGTGGTAGTTGAGGTAGCTCGATGTTGTCGCGCTCCTTGTCCTTGTCGGAAACGTCCGACGTCTCTTCCTCCTCCACGGTGATCTCCAACTGGCCACGGCTGCCGTGGGTGTCGATCGCCGGCATCGACACGACCCTGATAAGATCCGGGGGCGGTACTGGCGCGGTGAATTCCGCCGGCGGCTCGTCCAAACCTTCGAGCTTGCCCTCCTTCAGCAAACTCTTGATGTTGTCGAATGTGCTCGAGTAACGTTTCACGTCCGACAATCGGCCGTCCTCGCCGTTCTCGAAGGACAAGCTCTTGGTCTTCGTCGGCGTTTTCGGCAGAATCTTGCGTTCCTTTTTGCGACCGCGTCGTATAACGTAGGTGCCGTTCTTCGTTAGCTCCTGTGGGCGTATCTGATCGAGCTCGTTCGTGGAAGAGTCCGAGTAGGGCGAGATCAGATCGTCGTCGGTCGTTGACAGTCGCTGGTCTTGCCAGTCGTCGAAGTCGCGGAGCTTCGACGCCGAACCCACGCCTGGAACACGATCGCACGTAACAATTAAAGTACTTACCCTTTTTGTCCGTTCCCCGCACATTTGAGGTTTAAATCTATAGATGAAAAACATGACGACATGACAATGTTTTTTTTATAATTGAAAAAAATAATTTTTTGTGAAAAAGAAAAAAACAGAAGAAATGTCTAGCGAAACATTTTCTTCTTTCGAATTACACGACGTTCGTAACGGGGGTAACTCACTCGAGACATCGCTGCTCTTTCGTCGTCTCCTTCCGACGACTTTTGTGCTACCGGGCGCGTACAGAGGATCGTCCTCTAAAGAAACCTCCCACGCGATCGAGTGTCTCTTGCTGATGGGCGGCGGTGGCGGCAACAGTTCCTCCAGAGAATCGTCGGAGAAACGCTCCTCCTCGGACTGCGTCCTGAAGTCGGCCGAGTTGCGTGTTGAGAAATCGGAATTGCGCGTGGAGAAGAGGTCGGAGTAGCGCTCGTCGGAGCAGCGGTCGGACGTGGGCGCGGAGAAGCGCTCGCTCGAGTCCGCGCGCGGCAACGAGAACGAGACGAAGTCGAGGTTGCGTATGGAGAACGGGTCGGAGGTCGGCACGGAGGACACGTGGTCGTTGGATCCGCTCGCGCTCGCGACCGCGATCGAGAAGTCCGAGTGAAAGCGCTCGTTCGACGTGCTGTTGGCGCGCGAGAAGTCCGACGAGTCGCAATTGGCGCGCATCGAAAAACGCTCGACGCTAACCGAGCTTGAACGCGGCATGGACGAGCGCCGGCTCGCCTCGGACTCGGAGTTTCTGGAGAAACGGCCCTCGCTCGAATCCGAGTCGTTGCGTCGTCGCGCCGCAACCGCCGACGACGACGACGACGATTGCAGCAACAGCAGCTCCTTCTCCGTCCTGTTCATCAGCAGTCGATCCTCCACGCTGCTCGACTTCATGATCTCGTTCTGCTGTCGCGGCTGCTTCCTCGGATGTGAAGTTCCGCGATCCGAACTGCTGCTTACGCGCACACGCTGACGAGCGTCGTCGTTCTCCAGACACTCGTCCGACGAACGACGACGCACCTCCCGGTGCTTCTCCACCGCGCTCGGATTTGTTCGGGGCGGTATCCAATTGAACGAAACCTTGCCGTCGTACGGCAGACTGCCGAACTTGCTGGGTGGACTGGGCGGTTGGGCCAGCCGGAGCGACTCCACGGGCCCGTTCTCCCAGCCGTACGGTCGCTGGTGTCGGGTCTTCGGCTAGATTACAAAATCATCTTGCTTTACAAGCGGGCGATCTTGAAAATCAATGAGTTTTACGCCGCGTTTGTTGGGAGACATTTTATCGATTATTTTTCAAACAACTTTTCGGGAGCGATTCGATACATATTTTCTAATAATTAAGTCGCCGCCGAGTTGAGATTCTGCGCTCCGAGTTTAAGCGTGCTAAAAATTCAAATGAGGAAGTTCGCGCCTGTGCAAACTTTGCGTTCTCCGTATCTAACAAAGTAAACTTTAATTACTTCAAATTTTGAATATAAAATACTTTGGCAAATGTTTGTAAATAATTTTTGATGACAAAAAAATGTAAGGATTTTACTCGCGCGTTATTTAAAAAAACGCATATATAATCTCTTCATTTTTTTTTTTCTATACTAATTTTATTAAAAACGCGAATTAGGTGCGGAAAACTATGTCAGAAAAAGCGTTTGTAAATAATCACAATCGATTCTCTCGATGTTGATTGTTGCAACTTTTATCTCGATGCCGATTGGACGTTTCTCGGATGTGTTTCTCGATTCATACACCGAAAAAATTATATTCTTGTAAGTAGAAGATTTTATACTTAAAAAATCTTCTTCAAGATTTTAGATGATATTCTTCTGAAATTAAGAATATATTCTTTATTTAATTAAGAATATATTCTATATATTAATATATATAGAATATATTAGTAATATACATAGTATACTATAATATATTAGTATATATATAGAATATATTAATATAAGAATATATTAATAAATTAAGAATATATTCTTAATTTATTAATATATTCTTATATTAATATATTCTATATATATACTAATATATTATAGTATACTATGTATATTACTAATATATTCTATATATATTAATATATAGAATATATTCTTAATTAAATAAAGAATATATTCTTAATTTCAGAAGAATATCATCTAAAATCTTGAAGAAGATTTTTTAAGTATAAAATCTTCTACTTACAAGAATATAATTTTTTCGGTGTATG